GTTAAATTAATGGCAGATATCTGTAAAGTAATACTACTTGGTAGCTCATTGAAACAGTGTGATGCTACGTTTGCACACAAACTGCACTTTATCCATATATGTGCTATAATTTAACCATCAAGTGCAACATGACGATCTACCTGCTGCTACACAACTAGCTGTGGCTTTTCTACTCTTCATGTTTCTATTTTATTTTTTATTACACTTACTGCTGTATTTTTACTTTCACTTATATTTTGCTCTTGTTTTATTGTACTGATTATTTTTTAGGCTTTTTCTTAAAAAAAACAACAAAACAAAACGGGATGATAAAATAAAGTTCCCTGAATCCTTAAAAGGAGGAACTACTGTTTGTAAAGGATATCAGATGTGGGTATTATTTACAGTTTCAGTGTGTTTGTTTTTTTACACACAACGAGTATATTAACATTTTTTTCTGCAATTTTATAGATATTATCTGTAATTTAACAGAACTGGCAAAATCAGTAAAATAACTGCTTAATTTTTTTTTAGAGATTGCTAATATATATATGGTATATATATGTATTAAAACTGTGAATGTGGCAGCAATGGAGTCACAAGAAAATATCTTAATGAACAGTTGAATACTATAATGTAGAATGGTTTAAATACATTACATTAGTGTAACCACCTCTACTGAGCAGTATGCTTATTAAATTGATTTTACCATTGAATACTTGCTGCCTATTTTACATTTTGTATTTTTAATTAATTGACTTTGTGGAAACGTGTTTTCACTTTGACATGACAGAGTCTTTATAAAAGCAATAAAAGAGGAAAATGTCTCCGGGAGGTGGAAAAAAACAGCAGCAGGTTTTTATGTCATGAGTTCATCCAGAGTTTATTTTCTAAGTTGTCATTAAAATAGATCTTTTTGTGTCCCTACAGTCACCTGGTGTTTTCTTTCTCTCTCTGTGGACAAGTCACTGCTGACATTTTGGATAAATTTCCCAAAGATAACTTCATGTGTGTTTAAATCTGCTGTTATGTGAGTTTTAGATGAACAGCAGGGGGCGCTGGTTCTCCAGTGTGTGCCGATAAAAGCACAGCAGAAGAAGAGTTCACTAAGATTTGACCTCAACTGGAAGCAAAAGAGAATCACATGGAAAATAAAGATGGAAATATGTTTGTTCCTGTTTCCTCCTGCAGCGCCTGAAGTCACATGATCTGCTTTTTGGCAAACTTTTCCACTTTCGCCAACATTTTATTTTTAGTCTTTCTAGTCTTTCTTTTTCCTGTGCATGCTAACAATCTGATGGGAATTCACTTACTACTTTTATTTTTATCTCTTCCTTGTAAAAAAGAGGAAATAAAGAAAACAGAGCTGCCATGTGAAAGCATCTTTTCTTCTCCTTGATGTGAGCGCCTGTGGGCAAAAGCTTGTGCCAAAGAAATATCTGTAAATAAAAGTAAAACAGTGCAGACAGAAAAACAAAGTAAAGGCCTGAAACAAGCCGTTACACATTTCTGTTCTTCTAACTGTTGGTCCAACTCAAATGAATTCATTTGGTAGCTGAGTTGGGTTTATGTAAGTTAACAACAGTGCTAAAGTTTTAATGCAGATCAATCATTTGATTCCTCGTTCAGCTCTGAGTTTTCATTGTTTTCCCCGACTTTAATCTAATTCTGGTGCTTTCCCTAAAACTCAGACACAAGTTTAAAAGGACTAAATGTAGTTTCAAGTTAACAGAAACCACAAAAACAAACCACCTCCAAACCAAAGTGAGATTTATCCCAAACAGCTCAAACACACAGTTCAGAGGGAACGACCTGCCGTTAACATAATGTGCTGCTCAGTCAGGTGTAATTCCAAATAATTTATTTGTCTGTCATGAGGCGATTGGAGACGAATGAGTCTGCAAGTGCTCAGAAAAAGTTCATTTACACACTTAAAAATATTAAAAAAGGGGGAAAATGCCAATCTGAAGCTGTCCAACAGCAACAAAAGCACAACTTAAAGTGCATTTATTGACCAATACACACAGAAATAATCGTGGTTTTTTTGCATTTTTCTTCTGCTGTGACTGTTTGGAGTCGAACAGCGTCTTATAATAATCTTCAGCAGTGTCATGCAGAGATTTTCTCCAAACAGAGGCGTAAAATAGTCTTTATGCAACATCCCAGCTCAATCCTGACCAGAATACCTCTCCAGCATCCCTCACTGATATGTCTGCCTGTAGCTGTCATCATGGCCCCACTGCTGACATTCATTACCAGATCGCACCATCTCAGGCAAAAAGTCTCCAGGAAAAAAAAGAAAATCTCTGGTTGTTGACATTCTGGGTTTGTGGTTCCCAACATGTGGTCTGGGGGCTTTCAAGAGGGCTCCAAATATAAAGTAAATTTCCCTGATTATTTCCCTCCTTAATATTGTACAGTGACAGCACAGAATTACATTTTCCTCACCATGTGTTTGTCATTTCCACTCTGTCATCACCAGAGCGGCACACAGGCGGAGAAACGAGCCCTCTGCTCTGACCACACGCTCTCTGGATTTGGGGGTCTTTGGAAGAAAAAAGAAAGAAAAGAGAAAGAAAAAGCCCTGACAGCCTCAGGTTATTTAATTGGCTGCTCGGTATCAGAGCCGCTGTGGGACAGTGGGTAGTGTGACGTGGAGGCAGAGGCAGCGATTGGAGGGCAGAGTGGAATTATAAGGGGAGGCTGAACCGGACTGGAGCGTCCCAAAGAGCAGCCGGCCTCAGATGTGGCACCGCAGCAGCAGCAGCAGGACGCAGCGCAAGGAGCCAGAAACCCCCCTCCGCCTTCCTTCACCATGCATCCAGCGGGAGTCCTCACAGCCCGACAGTGACAAGTGTTTCCAGAGTGGCGAGAGTTCATCCGAGCGAGCGGCGTTGGTGCGTAAAAGTCGAGGAGAAGCTGCTGCGCGTATTTTCCGTTTTTTCTTTCTTTCTTTTTTTTTTTCCTTCGCTGGGGGAGCCGGGCGGAGTTAAGCGTTTCTGGAGGATTTTTGTTTTTTAATTCTTTTTTTTAAAAACAAAGAGGAATATTTTTTGGTCCAAGTCTTTCCACCGTCATGGAGTACACGTCATCCCCGAAGCCGCAGCTCTCATCCCGGGCGAACGCGTTCTCCATAGCCGCCCTGATGTCCAGCGGGAAGCCCAGCAAGGACAAGGAGGCGGAGGAGAACACCATCAAGCCCCTCGGTAGGAAGAAAACACAGCTTATCCGGGTTTAATAGGAGCTAAGTTGTACTTTGAATGAAAAAGAGTGAAAAAAGTTTATTACAGATTGAAGCAACTCCAGATGGAAGCAAGAAAATGCAGCAAAAATAAAGAAAAAATGAACTAAATAAATATGATAAGGGAACAAGTTTTAATAAATAACGTGACTGAGCTAGTTCTTTAATGCATTTACAAGAAAATAACCCTAACAAATATATTTAAAATGATAATTACCAGGGTTTAAAATTTAGAGTTTTGTTGCATCTTTAAAGAGGTTTTTAATAAATGTTTTGCGAACTTGTTTAGTTTGTTTAAATTAGACTTTATGTGACTTTTGTGAACAGATCAGATCTTTTAAATGTGACATGAAACACAACATGTGGGGTGTTTTTCTCTCCTCAGCTGCTTTATTTAATTTTATTGTCTTATAAAGAACATTTGAAGCTTTAAAACGGTTTTACTGTGTGTTAATTAAATCTGTCATTGGGTTGCTCGTTTGAATTAAATTGATCTTTTTATATTTAATTATTATTATTATACAGATGAAATAATGTAAAATAAAAAGGAGGCAATTTTTATACATATATATATTGAGTCAAGCTTCGTGTTTTAAAGATTTAAATAGAAAAAGTATGTTATACAGGACACAATAGAGCTGCATTTATAGGCTCATAATTATAATAATAATAATATAAAATGTGTTTGTCTTAGAATGTAAATCACTTTCCAGTTTTCTAGTTTGAAATTAAATGAGAATAATGAAATGAAAAATACTTTATTTATCCCTGAAGGGAAATTCAATAATCTTCACTCTTCTTTTTATTTTTTTCTGGTTTTCTTTCTCCACATTCGCCTTCAACACAAACCAACCAAATAAAAACCCAAACAGAGCAGTTCGTGGAGAAGTCCTCCTGCAACCAGCAGCCTCTGGCCGACCTGTCCTCTCTGGACGGACACGGGGACTTCAGCGGGAGCGCGCCCGCGGTGTGCACGGAGCCGCTCATCCCCACCAATCCCGGCATCCCCAGCGAGGAGATGGCCAAGATCTCCTGCAGCCTGGAGACCAAGGAGCTGTGGGACAAATTCCACGAGCTCGGCACTGAGATGATCATCACCAAGTCTGGGAGGTAAAGAAAAATGATAATAATTAAAAGGCTCCTTTTATTTTATTTTATTTTGAAAGTATTTTCTCAATTGGCGCTGATAATTAATTACAAACATGGAGCGGGTTGTTTATCGTTGTGTCGTGTTTGTTTGCAGCCAGTGTGACATGATGCTGAGTGTTTCTAAAACACCTCAGATGAATGAATGAAGCTTCTCTGCAGCTTTTGGGGACTTTTCTTCAGACAAAGCAGAGATCTGAACAAACACACTTTATGGGCAGACTTCAGGAAAAACGCAGTGACACCATCAGCTAATGTTTCACTGATCCTAGACCCCCGTGTAAAAACACACGGGTGACAGAATTAAGGCCACACACACCACAGTGGTGTGTGCAGTAAATTAAATGCATAAAAAAACACGAATTTTAGGATTAAATAACGAAATGAAAAAGATCCTTTACAGACTAGATTCATAAGCAGCACTTGCAGGTATTTTAAGCATTTTATATATATTTATTACATCTTTAGTTTTTAAAAGTTTTTAAATATATTTTTTATATTATTATATTTATTATATATACAACTAACAAGCTCATTATATAGTTTCTGACTTTAGATTTTTCACATTACTTTTAGGTCAACGAAATGACAGAAATAAATAAATAACAAACACACTCCGCACCATGCATGCAGAGATTTTGTTCTTTTTCTTTTCTGCACTATAGAAATTGATTTAAAATTGAAAAATAATTGCAAATAAAATTCACGAATATACGTATAAGCATAAAAGAATTAAAACATTTTGACACATGATCTTAATAAGCTGGAGCCCTTAAAAATCACTTTGTTT